CTATTCTACAGTGTACTTTTTCCACCTAATGTCTGTTAAGTCTTTATATGCTTTTTAATATAGATCCAATTCTTTTTGACTGCTGTATTCTAAAATTTACATGTACTTTACTTAACTATTTAAATATTAATGATCATTAGTTGTCCCTGAGTTTTTACTTTTACAAATATTGCTGCTACAAGGAGTGTCTTGGGACATACTCTGTGTGGCTGTGCAGACACCGTGAAGCAGCAATACCAGGTAGAAGGAATGCAGTTTGACCACCATAAATAACAGCTTATTACTCACGCTTCTGCCTAAACTTGGTGATAAAAGTCTTTTAAATATTTATGAAGGTTGATGGGTAAGAGATAGTATGATATTGTTCTTTTGATATCCATGGCCTTCCTTTATAGTAAGGCAGACTGCGTTTCCCACTGTTCGTTCTTCACCTGTATTTATCTATTCTTCTATTACCTGCTCTTTACCCATTTTCCTATATTTTGTCTTTTTAAAATTATTTTGAATAAGTTTAAAAAACACCTCTCCCCTGTCTGATATCATACTGAAATGGATGTCTCCCCTTTTGTCAATGACCTTTAATGGTATCTATTATTATAAATAAGGCCTGTGCTTTTTGTATCCTGCAGTATACAAAAAGCAGTATACATATACTGCAGCCTTATGATATGTCTAGGTGTAAATTTCATTTCATTTCTTTGGCTTGACACTCTTTGTAATTCTTGAATCTGAGAAATCTTATGTTTCATCTACTCTGAAGGAGTCCTATTCAATATTTTTAAAAGTATTGCCTGTCCTCAATTCTCTTTATTTTCTCCTCCTAGAAGTCTTATTCAACATATGTTTACTCATATGTAAAATAAACATCTCGGACCAGTTGACAGTGAAATTCTTTTCATTGTTTGGGTTACATACAACAAAGAATGGCCTCCTTTCCTTGCATTTTCTTTAATGGTAATTTAATTTAGGAGTTGAATTGATAAAAACAGGGATCAACATTTAAAAAAAATATATAAAAAGGTAAAAGAGTAAAAAAGCTTACTCTCATTCCTGTCCCCATTCTGCCCTGTTTTCTCAGCCTTTATTATGTTATGTTACAATTTTTTTTTTTTTTTTTTTTTCATTTTTCGGGCCTCTCACTGTTTTGGCCTCTCCCATTGCGGAGCACAGGCTCCGGACGCGCAGGCTCAGCGACCATGGCTCACGGGTCTAGCCGCTCCGTGGCATGTGGGATCCTCCCGGACCGGGGCACAAACCCGTGTCCCCTGCATTGGCAGGCGGACTCTCAACCACTGTGCCACCAGGGAAGCCCATGTTCCAATTTTGATGGAAGTTTTTATCATGAATGGATATTAAATTTTGTCACATGCTTTTTTCTGCATCTATTGAGATGGTTATGTGATTTTCATCCTTCCTTTTGTTAATATGATGTCTCACATTGATTGATTTGTGAACATTGAACCATCCTTGCCTTCCTGGAATAAATCACTTTATCATGGGGGTATGATCCTTTTTATATATTGTTGAATTTGGTTTGCTAATATTTTGTTGAGGATATTTGCTTCTATATTCATCAGAGATATTGGCCTATAATTTTCTTTTTTGTAGTGTCTTTGTCTGATTTTGGTATAGGGTACTGGTGGTCTCATAGAATGAATTTGGGAGTATTCCCCCCCTCCCAGTTTTTGGAATAGTTTGAGAAAGATAGGTATGAGCTCTTCTTCAATGTTTGGTAGAACTCCCCTGTGAAGCCATTTGGTCTGGGACTTTTGTTACTGGGAGCTATATTTTAAATTATGAATTCAATTTCACTACCAGTGATTGGTCTGTTCAGAGTGTCTATTTTTGGTTCAGTCATGTATGTTTCTAGAAATTATCTATTTCTTCTAGGTTGTCCAAATTGTTGACATATAACTGTTCATAGTATTCTCTTATGATTTTTTTTGTATCTCTGTGGTATTGGGTGGTATTTTTCCTCTTTCATTTCTTATTTTATTTGGATCCTCTCTCTTTTCTTCTTGATGATCTTGGCTAAAGGTTTATCAAGTTTGTTTACCATTTCAGAAAACCAAGTCTTGGTTTCACTGATCTTTTCTATAGCTATTTATTTATTTTTGGTCTATGTTTTATTTATTTCCTCTCTGATTTTTATTATTTCCTTGCTTCTGCTGACTTTGGGCTTTTTGCGTTCTCTTTCAAATACCAGAGATGAGATTTTTCTTGTTTCTTGAGGAAGGCCTATACTGCCATAAACTAACTGCTTTTGCTGCATCCCATAGATTTTGGAGTACTGTGTTTCCATTTTCATTTGTCTCAAGGTATTTCTTATGTCCTCTTTGATGTCTTCATTGACCCTTTTTATTTTTTTAAGTAGCATGTTCTTTAGTCTCCACATGTTTATGTTTTTCCCATTTTTCTTCCTGTAATTGATTTCTAGTTTCATACCATTGTGGGTGGAACAAATGCCAGATGTAATTGCTATCCTCTTAAGTTTGTTGAAACTTCTTTTGTAACCTGGCATGTGATCCATTCTGGAGAACATTCCATGTGCACTTGAAAAGAATGTGTATTCTGCTGGTTTTGGATGGAATGTCCTGTACGTCCAACTGGTCTGTTGTGTCGTTTAAGACCGCTGTTTCCTTATTGATTTTCTGTCTGAATTACCTGTCCATTGATGTAAGTGAGGTATTAAAGTCTCCTACTATTATTGTATCATTGTCAATTTCTCCCTTTATGTCTGTTAATATTTGCTTTATATATTTAGGTGCTCCTATATTAGGTCCATATATGTTAGAAAGTGTTATATCTTCTTGTATTGATTCCTTTATCATTATATAATGCGCTTCTTTGTCTTTTGTTATAAACTGTTTTAAAGTCTATTTTGTCTGATATGAGTATTGCTACCCCCAATTTTTTGTCATTTCCATTTGCATGAAATGTCTTTTTCCATCCCCTCACTTTCAACCTGTATGTGTTTTTAGCTCTGAAGTGAGTCTTTGTGGGCAGCATACAGATGGGTCTTGTTTTTTAATTCAATTAGCCACCTTATGTCTTTTGATTAGAGCATTTAGTCCATTGACATTTTAAGTGATTATTGGTAGGTATGTCCTTATTGTCATTTTGTTTCTTGTTTTCCGATTGTTTTTATAGTTCTTTTCTGTTCCTTTTTCTTTTAGTTTATTCCCTTCTGGTTTGATGATTTTTTAAGTGGTATCCTTGTGTTCCTTTCTCTCATTTTTTCTGTATCTATTGTAGGTTTCTAATTTGTGGTTACTATGAGGTTCATGTATATTTACTTATATCTACTTGTTTTAAACTGGTAGTCATTTAAGTTCAAACACATTGTAAAAGATCTACATTTTTTACTCCCCTCCTCCATGTTTTGTGTTTTGATGTCATATTTTACATCTTCATGTTTATCCCTTCACTGTTAATTGTATTTATAGTTGATTTTACAATTTTTTGTCTTTTAATCTTCATGCTAGCCTATTTAAGTGGTTGATCCAGTCTTTACTGTCTATTTTCTTTTACTAGTGGGATTTTTGCTTTCCTATAGATTCTTACTTCTTGTTGTAGCCTTTTCTTTTCCACTTAGAGATGACCCTTTAACATTACATTTTGGGGAAGTTTGGTATTGATTAACTCTTAGTTTTTGCTTGTCTGAGAAGTTCTTTATCTCTCCTTCAATTCTAAATGATCATCTTGTTGGGTAGAGTATCCTAGTTGCAGGCTTTTCCTTTTCGGCACTTTAAATATATCATGCCACTACCTCTGGCCTGCAAAGCTTCTGCTGAAAAATCGGTTGATAGTCTTATGGGGGTTCCCTTGTATATGACTGTTTTTCTCTTGCTGCCTTTAGAATTCTTTTTATCTTTAATTTTTCCATTTTAATTATGATATGTCTTGGTGTAGGTCTGTTTAGGTTCATCTTGTTTGGGACCCTCTGTGCTTCCTGTATCTGGATATCTGTCTCTTTCTGCAGGTTTGGGAAGTTTTCAGCCATAATTTTATCAAATATATTTTTGACCTGTCTCTCTCTCTCTCTCTTCTCCTTCTGGGACTCCTATAGTGCAAATCATGGTTTGCTTAATGTTATCCTAGAGATCTCTTAAACTCTTCTGTTTTTCTTTTTGCAGCTCTGATTGGGCAATTTCCATTATTCTGTCTTCCAGATCACATTTGCATTCTTTTGTATCACCTAGTCAGCTGTTAATTCCTTTGATTGTGTTTTTCATTTCAGTTGTTGTATTTTTTGGTTCTGGCTGGCTCTTTTATATGTTTTCTATTTCCTTATTAAAATTATCACTCTACTCTTTAATTTAGTTAGCATTCTTATTACTAATACTTTGAACTCTTATCTGGTACATTATTTCTGTTTCATTACTTGTTTTTTCAGGGGTTTTCTCTTGTTCTTTCCTTTGAATTAAATTTCTCTATCTTTTCATTTTGCTTAACTTTCTCTGCCTCTATGAAATTAGGTGAAACATTTAGCTATCCTGGAATTGAAGGTGTGTCCTTGTATGGAAGCATCCCTGTGCAGTCCGTACGTGCCCAGTGTCTTTGGTGGCACAGCTACATCTGACATTGAGCATAAGTCACTCTTCCCCAATGGTGTGCTAGCAGCTATCACCAGGATAGGAGGTAGGGTTAGAAGTAGAAGGGCTAGAGCAAGAGCCAGTTGTGAGCCAGGGCTTCTCCTCGGTTTGGTGGCCAACACCACACTATCAGGGTGGGGGTGGGTTCCACGATGCTGGGTCAGAAGACCTGAGGGTTGGTCTGATCTGGCTGCATTCCCTCTAAGTGTGTGCTCTCCCCGCTCCCAGCACATTCACACTCACCCAGAGGGGAACAGTGCTGGAGCAAGAGGAGCTGGAGTGGGTGCTTGGTATGGGTTGGAGTGCAGACTGTGGTAGTACCGGCACTAGTCAGAGTCCTGGACAGCTCCTGATCTTCTGCCTTCATAGGCACCAGCAATGTCCAGATACTGTGCTAAGTCTGAGCTATCTCTTTCCCTCACAACTGCATACGCCTCTCAGCCATGGCAGCCCTCTCTCCAGTGTGGAGCTGCACTGGGAGCAAGAGGGGCTGGAGCAGGTGCTCTGCTCAAGCTGGGGTGTGCGTTAGGCAGTGGTGGGAAACCAGCCAGAGTCCCTATCAGTTTCAGTCTGCTTCCTCTGCCTTTGTTTTGGGAGTAAGCCAGTGTGTGCACGCTCTTCATGAGCGGAGTCTTGGTTTGTTATAGTCCTGCTATCAATCCCAGTTTTTCGAATCAGCTAAGGAGACTTGTCCTCCTAGTGCCAGACCCTAGGGCGTAGTGCTCAGTGGTTCTCACCACTCACTCCCCAGGGAGGATCTCTGAGCCTGTGTAATTCCCCCTCCTCTTCTGTGTACCCTCCCAGGAGTGTAGGTCCCGATCTGATCACTTCTCTCCCTTCCTACCCAATTACATGCAAAACTTTCTTACAGACTTGGTTGTATAAGAGTCTTTCTGCCAGTCTCCAGTTTGTTTTCAGTGAGAATTGCTCCACATGTAGATGTATTTTTGATGTTTCATGGGGTGAGGTGAGCTCCACGTCCTCTTACTCCACTATCTTGATCTATCTCCACTATAAACTTTTATATTTATTGTCAAATTGCCCTCCATTGGGCATTGATAATATTTGGAAGTACCTGATACCCCCTGGCGTCACCACAGATCATGTCAAAACACTGTTGCACTTTTGGCCGTTTGATAAAATGGTATCTCACAGTAGTTTTACTATTATGAGGGTGGATACCTTTTAATATGTTAGAAATCACTTATTTTTCTTTTTCTGTAAATGGTCCATTCATATCCTTTGACTATTTTTCTACTGGCTTTTGTTCTTTTTAATATCTATTTCTACATGATCCTTATATATGAAGACAGCATTGGTCCATTTTTTTTTTCAAATTGAACTGTATGCATATTTTTCCTCAGGCACTAAAATTATATTGGCTTATTCCAGAAATTCATATTGAAGGTGATGTGTATATAAAAGAAAAGCTATAGATGTAGACAATCCACCCAGGGATCAGTCTGTGTCATGGTGGGTGTAGTGAGGCATGCACCTCACCTGAGCTCTGGTTCTCAGAGTGGGATGCTGTCAGCCCCGCCGTTTGTTTCTGCCTGTATCTGCATTGTCCATGGAGGTCTACTGGCAGATTTTCTCCTCTCCAGAAAAATCCTCAGACTCAATACCATCAGGAAACTCTTCACTGCCATAGGTAAGAACCAAGGTAGACATGGTGGGGGTGGGGGTGGATGTGGGATGCTCAGGGAAGCTTCCTATTCACTGTGTTTGTTCTCCTGCCCCAGGGGTTCTCCTCCCATCTGCGTTCTTCGTGTCCCTTTTCTGGGTCAGATCCAGCTTCAGTGCCACCATGGCCTTCTTGATACTGTCTTCTGCCACCAAAAGCCTCAGCCAATCAGGAGCCCTTGTCAACTTCATGGATATTGCTCCTCGGTAGAGACCTGTGATCATCCCTAAAGCTGCTCTGACACATGGGTAAAATGTGACACATGCTATGGGTCACAGGAAATTTCAGCACCAGCCGTACATCCAAATAATTCCTGGAAGGGACCCAAAGCTAGCCAACCTCTGCGAACTTAGTTTTTCCAGATGAAAACAGGAGAAGTCAGTGGCCACACTCACAGTTCAACTGTGGGAGACTCACACCAATTTCTTTCTGTTGGGGAATGCAGCAGTTACACAGGGCTGGATCACTGAAAGGACTCGTAAACTTCAGAGGGCGTGCTCATGTAAGGCTTTAATAAAGGTAGAGGATACAGGATAGCAGGAGAAACATTCAGCTCTGATATAGGTAAATACCAGATGACTGAGACTTCCAAATATAGCTCCCAGGGACCATCCATGGACCGTTCACAGTCAATAGGACACATTTCATCTTCAGGTAACGAACCACCAAATTACATGGGAGATACCTTGGTCTCAGGGAAGCCAATGTCTCATCCAATGGGAGGTCTTTTATACCTAAAAGCAAGGCTGAAAGATCAGGCTCCATAGCAGAAGACAAGAGAACATATAAACCAGCTGCCAACCATCAATCCGTACATTTTGTATAATGAATGTTGACAAGTTAGTGCAGGTTACCCCTTGGAAATCCCAGATCCTAGCCTCATCACTAGTCAGTACATTTCATTCAGATTTGACTAAGGGTCAGCACAACTCCAGCAATCCCCAGAGATAATCACAGAGTTGCAACAGATCAGCTGAGATTAACCCTTTGCTTACAGAGGAATATTGTTTTCTCACACTTTCTGTCTCGCAGGTACAGGGGACTATCACAGATCTTTTCTTACATAGCGGGAGCCATCTCTCCCACAGTTGCCGGATTTTTCATCAGTCAGGTAAGGTCAAATGTTCTGGTGATTATGATATTCACAAGAGTCACCTCAAAAGATCATCCAGCCTCTCATTCTGACCCTAGGCTCAGCTCATGCAGAAAAATTACCACATGTTCAGGGTATGGAGTGAAGCAGAATGCTCTATTGTATGAGTTTATGCTTTATGAGTTCTTAGAATGAGTTTCTCGTGCTAATCATCACATTTTCTAGCAATAATCATGACCCTTCTTGTGAAGTATAGAATGGCCAACCATTCTGATTGGCTGGGGCTGAGGGGTTTCCTGGGATGTGGGACTTTCAACACTAAAACCTTGAAAGTTCCAGGCAATCTGGAAAGAGCTGGTCACCCTATGTAGGAACCCAGCAAATATTTATAGAACAAATGAACGAGACGCTGAGTGGATGAGTGAATGATAGAGCGAAGGAGCAACCTGTACATTACAGGTATGCTCATCAGTGGTTAGTACAGGAATTCCTCTGCCCAGTATTGCTTACATAGTGTTTTTACATTCATACAGCCTTCCATCCTGCGAGATGCATTTAAAGTTGTCAGAATAAACAAATTCACCTGATGACAATTTCGTAAGAATCGGACTGATACAGACTTTATGTGAAGAAACATACATATGGCATTCACATGACTATCATTCTTTAAGTTTCCTGTGGTTTCCACCAGTAAGCCAAGAAAATGAATGGAGAATAACAAAGAAAGGGTATTCTTTTTGACACCAAGTCCTTTTTTTTTTGAAGCTTCAGTTCTCTTCCAGCCACTGACTAACACTGTTTACAACGGAAATTCTCAAACTGCTCTTGTTTCCCTTATTACTCACTCACTCACTCACTTATCTCTTCATTCATTCGACATATATGCAATGAACATTAGCATGTGCCATGCACTGTTTAAGTGAATAAAACCAACAGAAGTCCCTGCCCTTGTGAAGTCGGTAGGAAAGAAACCGATAGAAAACTAACAAACTAGACGAAAACATGGTATAGTGATTGGTGGTAAGCGCTAAGAAAAGAGTAGGGCCGGAGAGGATAATAGGGCACATAAGAGGGGGTGGGATTTCAGTTTTAAGTAGGGTGGCCGAGGAAGTCTCATTGAAAAAGTAATATTTATGGGAAGCAAGTACATGGGCGAGAGAAATGACTACTTGAGGGGAGGAATATTCCAGCAGAGGGAAAGGCCAGGGCACCGGAAAAGTACCTGCATATTCTAAGAACAACCAGGAATATATAATGCGGGGCAGAGTTGGGGAAGAGGGCGGTAGAATATGGTGCCAAAGCCTTTCTGAACCAGGAGGGACAAGAACTAGGAGACTGTTAATAACTTGTAGTTTCCTGCCTGCAGGACTCAGAGTTCAGTTGAGGAATGTCTTCTTGCTTTCAGCTGCTGTGAACATAGCAGGCCTGTTTTTCTACCTCATCTTTGGCCAAGCAGAGGTGCAGGACTGGGCTAAAGGTAGAGGTGCACCCGCTTCTGAGCAAACCGAGTGACGAATTAGATGCCGGTGCTTAGTTGTTCACTGTTTGCCCTCATGGACATTCCCCTGACTTACAGTTCTACCCCAAAATGGGCTGTCCTTAAAGTACAGAAATCTCAGATTTTCCACTGGCCCATACACCTAGGACATGGAGGAGTGAGAGTTGCAAATTATGGAAAGGCTCTTTCGTAAAGTCTTAGAATAAAATTTTATCTTCTTGTGCTTGTTTTCGGTTTATTTAACAATCATTTATAAGGCAACTAATGCAGAGTGGAAGACAAATAAACCCAAATTTAAAATTCAGATGTGTTACTTGTTACAAACAATACATGGACAAAAGAGATGCCCACAGGGTGTGCATGGTGGCAGGGGCTGGGGGTGGGGACTGGCCTCCTAGGAATCTCCATGCCATCTTCTTCCTTGGGCTGGTGACTGCCCCTCAGTCCCAGCTTGTGTGCTGGTCCCTCTCCCCCTCAATAGGGAGTTCAGACCCAGGCTCTCCTAGTGCTCTGTTTTACACTAAGTTTTGTAGAGAAAGAAAAAAGCACACATAAATGTCACTGAGTCCTGATACCCAGTGGATATAAGAAAGCTTTACAACAGCTCGAAGGAATAGTCCGGCTTAGTATATTTTTTCAAATTGTTTTCTTTGCCCCAATTAGTTTATCCTAGGCATTTGTTACACTTCTCATCTCTTGACATAAAAACGGTGCAATTTTATCCTCCTTACTCGTTCTTACTCTCAAAAGTCTCTGAGTGAGAGGTCTGAACAATTCCAATATCTTGCTAGGTCCAAGCACGTGGTATGAGACCATCCACCATTTGCTCTATACCTATGCTGTATCTTGAAAGTAAAAACACTGCACACTCCTGGGGTTTGGGACTCAGGTAGTTTGATATTGCTGCTCTCCCTAATAGGAATACATTTTATCCACAGCATTCACAAGGCACACTTTTTGTACTTGACCAAATTCCCATTCTTTGTAAATATTTGTTACTAAGAAAATGAAAATGAAACTTCTTTTTGTGATCCTCCACCAACCACACACTCTGGTTCTGCTCAGAAACATTCCCAGTCCTTTCAAAGAACAAGCTACCAAAACCTGTGGCAATTGGGACAGTGCTATCTGGAAAACTGGACTGAAACCCAGCTTCACCTGGTTAGCAGGTGTCCAGATCAACTCATCTGATGTAATGTTCTCCAAAACCCAAAAAGGGGAAGTGGCCAAGATGCTTAATTTGGGTATCAGTACAGGAGCCTATCTGGGGCAGTGATGAGGAAGGCACACTAAAACATGCCATTCATACAAACAGACATTTTCTGGGTTTCCCAGTAGAAACAGTTACTTACGTTGCCTAATAACTACCGGTAAGTACCCCCACATGTGTTTCTACGTGTTAGCTGAATATAAACATTCCTTTAACGTAAGCAACCATGATGCGTTTTATCCACAGGAGGGAAAATACTATGCAACACAGGTATTTCACCCAAGACTGAGAAAAAAGTTGACATCTCTCACCAACGTGTCACTGCTTTAAGTGCACACAGTCCATGGGAAGAAATAAAGATTTATCTGTTTCCTCTTTTCTAGGATGGCCTGTATCCGGCCAAATTTACGGTGACTAATTCTGTAACAGGGTGTATGATGATGTTACATTGAAGACTTGCTGTAGGTGGCCATATATAACAGACATGAAATTCCAACGTGGGGTGTTAGGGTACCTCACAGATATTGTTCAGGATGTGATTTTTAAAAAGTCATATGGTTCTAAAACAATTTAGGATTACATAAAAGTAAAAGCCTCAGCAGAGTGGAGTTAGAGAAAGGCTTTGAAAAAATTTTTAAATGTGTGTTTTCCCTATAAGATCAAGAGCAAGACAAGGATGTCCACTCTTGCCATTTCTATTCAACATCTTAGTAGAGGTTCTAGGCAGGGCATCTAGGCAAGAAAAAGAAATAAAAGGCATGTAGGCTGGAAGAGAAGAAATAAAACTATATTCACAGATGGCATAAACTTCTATATAGAAATTGTAAAGAACCACTAAAAAACTATTTGAACTAATATATGAGTTCAGCAAGGTTTCAGGATACAAGATTGATATACATAAATCAGTCATATTTCTATATACTTGCAATGGACAATCCAAAAATTAACCTAATTTCATTTAAAGTAGCATAAAAAAGAATAAATTTAGGAATAAAATTAGCAATAGAAATGTAAGACTTATACTCTGAAAAGTATAAAACATTGTTGAAAGAAGTGAGAGAAGATTTAAATGAATGAAAAGAATCGACGTTCATGGAGTGGAAGACTTCAGTTCTGTTAAAATGGCAAAACTCCTGAAATTAGCCATAGATTTAATGCAATTTCTATCAGAATCCCAGCAATTTCTCTGTGGAAATTGACAAGCTGATTCCAAAATTAATACAGAATTGCAAGGGACCCAGAATAGCCAAAACATTCTTGAAAAAGAAGAACCAAGTTGGAGGACCCACACTTCAAAGCTCTCTACAAAGCAACAGTAATCAAGACAGAGTTGTACTAGCATAAGGATAAATATATAGACCAGTGGAATCAAATTGAGTCCAGAAATAAACCAAAGTGTCTATGGTCAACTGACTTTTGACAAACATACCAAGACCATTCAATGGGGAAAGGATAGTCTTTTTAACAAATTGTCCTGGGATAACTGGATAGCTACATTCTAAAGAATGAATCTGGACCTTTAGTTCACACCATTTACAAAAATTAAACTAGATAAAAATAGATCAAAGATCTAAATGTAAGAGCTAAAATAATAAAATCCTTTGAAGAGAACATAGGGGTAAATCCTTCACAACCTCAGACTTGGCAATGGTTTCTTAGATATAACACCAAAAGCATAAGCAACAAAAAAAATTGATAAAGAAGACTTCATAAATATTAAAAACTTTTGTGTGGCAAAGAACACTATCAAGAAAGTGAAAAGACAACCTCCAAATGGGAGAAACTATGTGCAAGTCACATATCTGATAAGGGTCTTATATATAGAATATGTAAACTCAACAACAAAAAGACAAACAACCCAATTAAAAAATGGGCAAAACTTGAATAAACATTTTTTTGAAGAAGACATAAATATGACCTATATGCAATGAAA